TCTTTTCCAACTCTAGTGCTTTTGAACAGAGAACCCCCCCCCCATCCTCCCGACCCCCAAACTCCACATTCCAACCCCATGATCTCATGGTACCAAGCATATCTCCCCTGCCAAGCAGCCAGGCTGCCTGCTGACTCTCACAAGGGGAACAGACGGGAACATAAACTTGCTATGGAGGAGCAAGACAATTTCTGTATATTTTTAAGACCAAGAATCCAGTATTCATTTAGAGGTTTTATTTTTTTAATAGCTCCTTGAAAATTCAGCAAAGTAATTCATGCTGCCCTTATTTCTTGATAACATCATTCCCTTTGCACTGATGTGTAGAATCTCAGAAACCAGAAAATGGAAAAGATATATTAGATCATGTCTAGTCCATTCCCAATGGCCAGAATTCTTTCCCACAGTCTCCTCCAGTACTTTTCCTATTCCAGTTTTCTCAAGAATTGGAATTTCCACCTCTTCTCCTGGGAGATAATTCCTCAGGATTTCTAGGTCTCCATAGGGAAATTTCCCTGCCATTGTGTGGAAATGTTCCTATTCTTATTTTCAGTTCAGTACTCTTTGTTTTCACAACCCTAAACAGTGCCTCTCTTTCCTTGGTGAAGAATTTCTGGATGGTACATTCTCCCACACCATGATTTCTAATCTTGAACGAAGTTTAGGATTTTTCTGGGTTTTTTTTCCCCTAACTTATATACATGTACATACCTACATAAATGCTCAGAATCACAAATTTTGAGAGTTGGAAGGGTTTTCAGAAACTGTGCGGCCATACCCATACATGAAAGGAATTCCCACTCTGCCATATCAGACAAGGGGTCACCTAGCATCAGTTGGAACATATCTTTCCCCATAAATCAACCTCCTTAGTCCTTTCTTACTAAAGTGGATTCTTTTTTTTGTGTCATCTCCAGTCCTACAAGCATGAAAACCTAATCTTTTCCATTCTATAAATTTATTTTCTGTATCAGTTTGAATCAGAAATTGTTTAGAGTAAAGTGATTTAGTATCTAAAGGATAGGCAACAGCATTCCTAACTTGGAAGACTATTTTTGGCTTCACTTTTCATTTGTTATTTGTAAAATGGGAAAGATTATGTTAGTTACTCAGCATTTTAACACATATATTTATGGTTTTCCAACCCACAACTGCTACCCCCCACTCACCTACTCCTACCTAAAGATACCTGGTTAGAGAGAGGGCTCGAGAGCAAGGAGGCACTGTAAACCTGAAGATGGAGCTAAAGGAGCTCGTTTTTGTGGTGGCAGAGATTTGGAAATTGAGGAGATGCCCGTCATTTGGAGAATGACCAATCTAGTTGTGGCATATGATTGTAATGTAATAATACTCTTGTGCTCTAAGAAATGACGAGCAGGATGGTTTCAGAAAAAGGTGGGAAGACTTATACGAACTGACGTAACGTGAAGTGAGCAGAACCAGGACAACACTGTACACCAGAAGAGCAACATTGTATGATTATCAACTGTGAATGATTTAGGTATTCTGATCAAAACAGTGATCCAAGACAGTTCTGAAGGACTTATGATTTAAAATTCTATCCACCTCCAGAGAGAGAATAGGTGGATTCTGAGTGCATATTGAAGCATAATTTTTTCACTTTCTTTATTTTTCTTTTTTTGCAACAAGGCTAATAAGGAAATATGTTTTGCATGATTTCACATTTACAATTATATTACATTTCTTGCTTTCTCATTGGGTGAGGGAGGGGTGAGAGAGAGGCAGAGAATTTGGAACTCAAAATTTAAAAAAAATGAATGTTAAAAATAAATAATAAATTAAAAAAAAAGATGGAGCTAAAGGACACAATTTGGGGAGGGATAGTGAAAGAGACAAAAATCATTGAAGTTGTGCATGATCAAAAGGTTCTTCATGTACTGTGTAACGAGGCACATGACCCACTAGTGGAAATTATATCTTCACTGCTTCAATCTTTATATATTCACTGTTCTTTCGCCTTTCCCTCCATTCCATGAGGAAGTGATGGTTCTCCTACTTATCAAAGCTAACCCCTTTACCTGTATCAAGGATCCCACCTCCTCCCACTTCCTCAGAAACTTGGTTCCATCATCATCCCTTCTCTCTCAAATTTTAAATTTTTGCTTCTGGTTTCTTCACCTCTCCCTAAAAAATAAAATAAAAGCTCACATGTTCCCTATTAGAAAAAAATAATAAACCTTCCTTTCAAATTGCTGTCTCTCTGTTCACTGCCAGCTTTCTTAAAACAGTCGATCCAATCAGTCAATTAATCAGCACGCTTTTACGGAGCACTATGTTCTAGGCACCGGGGATCCAAAGACAGAAGCGAAACAGTCCCCTGCCTTTGCAGAGCTTACAGAATGGCAAAGAGGGAGATGACATGTACATATATAAATTGATTCAGAGGAGATACAAGGTAATATTGGAGGGAAGGCACTCGCAGCTGCAACCTCCGAAAAGGCTTCATTTAGAAGGTGGCATTTGAACTGAGCCTCAAAGAAAATGAGTACAGGTGAGGAGGGAGTGATTTCTAGGCATGGATGATGGCCAATGGAGAACAATGGAGCCGGAAGGTGAAGTTCTGTGTATAACAAAAGTTAGAAGGCCAGTTTGGCTAGGTCATAATGTACAGAAATGGGAGACGTTCTGATAAAGCTGGAAAGTTAGGTTGGAGTCAGTTGTGAAGACCCCCACATGCTAGAGTTTGTATTTGATTCTTGAAATGATAGAGATCTACTAGAGTTTACTGAGTGGTAGAGTGAGGTGATCAAACGTGGTTGTAGGAATATCATACTTTGTTGGCGATGCAGAGGATAGATTGGAATAGAAAGATGTTTGAGGTGGAGAGATCAGTCAGGAGATTGTTATAGTAGTCTAGATGAGAGGTAATGAGGGCCATCACCAGGCTGTTGGCTGTGTGAGAGGAATGTAACGGACAATCTGGTATGTTCTGGAGTGAGAAACAAAAGATTTAGCACCAGACTGAGAGTGTGTGATGAGTGGGGATGATGAGTTGAGGAGGACACCAAAGTGGTGAACCCGGGTGACTGGAAGGATGGTGGCACTGTTATAATATTCATTACTGTACCTGGCAGCATGACTTAACAGAAGGGCCTTGGAAATTTAAGATGATTGGCTCTTCTGGAAGGAAACAGTTATGATATGCTCTGGTATTTCTTGGTACTTCAAACAAGTGAATGAAGCCAGCCATCAAGAGATGACTCAGGAAGACACTGACTTCAAGTATTTGAAAGGTTGTCATGTAGAAGAAAGATGGGAATTCTTCTGTTTGGCTCCAGAGGATAGAACCAGCAGCAGTGGGTGAAGGTTAAAAGAAAATTTAGGCTTGATGTCAGGGAAAACTTCCTAACAATTAGAACTATGCAAAAGTGGAATGAGTTACCTTGAAAGTTGGTGGGTTTCTCCCCCTTCCCCCTCACAAAAGTCTTCAGAAGTTCCTTGGCCACTGGTTAGGTTCCTTTTGTATTTGGATTAGACTCGTTGGTTGCTAAGGTCCCTTCCAACTCTCAAATTCTATCATTCTTTGAACTGGAAAGCTACCAGCTTCGCCCTTCTTTGCGCCACCCTACCCCTGGGATTGGATTTCTAGCCTCTCTGACTAATACATATGTGTCATATGGCACCAGAATATACCGCTACCCTATCTTTTATGTTTTCTGTCTTTCTTCCTTGTTTCTTCTTGGAGATGGAATGGAAATTTAAGTAAATACTTAAAACCTAAATAGGTTTGCAAGATCTTTCTTTTTTAAGCCTTCTGATCGTATGCACTGGGATTATCAATAACAGAGATAAACTGAGCAGATGATTATATGAAAAATAGTTGAATGCCTATGTAATCTTCTAGCAGACAACTAAGAAATGACTAATTTCTCTGAGCCATAGTTTTCTCTCATATAAAATGAAGTTTTAGACTAGATGAACCCTTAGGTCCCTTCAAGTTCATTTGTCCTATAACTTTGATACTTATATTTCAAAATCTTTACTCATTTATCAAATATTTTTATTGAGTCCCTTTAATACATAAGGCACTAGCGAGGATTTAAAATATATATAAGATGATACGTCCCCTCAAAGAGCTAATAGGGGAAATAAGAAATGTTTACAAGGAACTGTATGTACCACAAGGTAGGATGAAATATGTTCCACACGAGAAGGATGACCAGAGTGGTCCAGATCACTATCCTGCACATTTGTTATACATAGCAGTAACAATACATTTTATTTTTGTAGCACCTTTCTTTCAGGAATGCACATTTTCTGATAAATGTTCTTTTTTATTGCATTATGAAATGCAGAATTATTCAGACAAATCAAAACCAACTGCTTTTTTATTGCCCATTTTTCTTTCATGTTACCATCATGGTTTCAACCACTAGGAGGTACAAACCAACAAAGAAACACAACCGTGACCAAAACATTATAAATTGTAAATGTGCTTCAGAACGCAAATCCTTTGGTCCATATGAAAAGACAAATATTATCTTTATTAAAAATAGAGGGAATCTGGAATACAGAAGAAAATAAGTAACTTGTCAAAGAATTGTCAGAAATAAAACTCAAGTTTCCTAACCCTAAATCTGTTGTTCTGCCTGCTGAGCCAGAAGATCATTTAAATAGTCTCAAACACATAGATAGTAGTAGCTTTGGTGATATGATGGAAGCCTTTTTCAGATGCCTTAGCACAGAGTGATCTCTCCCTTTCCTCTAAATTCTTATAACACTTGTCCATTTTGTTCATTTAGCATTTAGTATATGCTTCCTTCTGTTTTTTTTTAACCTTTTGTTTATATACCCTATCTCCTAAACTAGATCATAGATTCTTTCAACTTGTCTTTGTACCTCTTCTAGTCCTTTACATATAGTAAATTGGCACTCAGCAAATGACTGGTGGTGGCGGCGACACCTTTTATGTTGGTTAATGATAAAGGATTTCTGGATCTGGCATTGAAAGAAAGAAGTAATGTTTTCCTTTGTTGTAGAGTAATGGCATGCATCGGATATTCTCTGGCATCCAACCTACGGGGATCCCTCATCTAGGCAATTACCTGGGAGCCATTGAGAGCTGGGTGAGTCTACAGGAAGAATGCAGCTCTGTCATATTCAGCATTGTGGATCTTCATTCCATCACTGTCCCCCAAGATCCAGCTGTTCTTCACCAGAGCATCTTGGACATGACTGCTATCCTGCTTGCCTGTGGCATAAACCCAGAAAAAAGCATTCTTTTTCAACAGTCCCAGGTCAGTTTGACACATCAGAATTCTCTACAATCTCCTTTTCTTGTATCTGAGGAAAGATAAATTGTTCTTCTGCCTCCTGTTTGTTTTTCAGGTATTTAAAGGTAATCCTGTCAGTTATAAGTATAACAGCCACATGGTGCTGTGATCCTTTCCTTCTGTGATTTTGTTGTTGTTCGGTCATGTCTGACTCTTCATGACCCCATTTGGGGTTTTCTTGGAAAACCGTTACTTGTTACTAAAATGTAGTAATGCCATTAGACAAATGATCCTTATTGGTTAAATGTGTTGACAATGGAGTGAGATTTAGGGCCCTCTATTTTCCAATAATGCAGACATTTCCACATTGGGCATCCCGTTCATTGGGTATTATCCATTGTCTCTTCTCAGAGAACAGGGCTTCAGGAGATCTCAGAGAGACCATCTAGCAACTTGAGGGAGTCCAGAGCTCCCATGCCCAAGCTAAAGTAGACTTGAGGGCAAAGCCACTAGGGTTGCCTTAGGTTCTTTTTGTGAATGATTTGAGTGATTTCTCTTTGATCATCAGATAGGCCAAGGAGCCTAGAGGTATAGACCGTTGGAGGCTTCTAATAAAAAAAAGTACTCAAGTTTTTTTTAAGATAAATTTTTATTGATATCTTTTGTTTTTATATTACCTGGGTGGCAGCTAGGTGGTGTGGTAGATAAAATGCTGGACCTAGAGTCAGGAAGACTCATCTTCCCAAGTTCAAATCTGGCCTCACACAATAGCTGTGTGATCCCCTGGGCAAGACACTTAACCCTGTTTGCCTCAGTTCCTTATCTGTAAAATGAACTAGAGAAGGAAATGGCAAACTACTCCAGTATCTCTGCCAAGAAAACCCCAAATGGGGTCATAGAGAGTCAGACATGACTGAGAAACAACTTAACAAAAACATTTCCTACAGTATCCCTCTATCTTCCTTCTACCAGAAAGTCATCCATCTCTTATAACAAAGTATTGTTTTTTAAAGAAAAAGAGAAAGAAGAGCAAAGACCACAGGCAAAATCAATCCACACATCTGAGAAACATCTGAAAATATGCAATCCCTATACCTGTAGACCTCCCACCTCTGCAGAAGAATGACCAGGGGTGGGTGGTGAAGGGAGAGGTGAAAAGATTCAAGTTTTGACTGGGTAGAGATGTTCCTTGGCTAAATCTGTGTCCCATAGTTCAGTTACAATGTCATCACATGATGTTATAAAGAAATATGCTAGCAATGTAGATGCTGTTCTAGATTTGAAACTTCTGCAGGTCAGAGACAATGTCTTGTACATCTTTGTATCCCTCCTAATTTCTGACACAATATCTAGCGTGTAACATAGATGCTCAATAAATGTTTATTAAATAAATGAATGAATTTAAAGAGAAAAATGCATTTATTACCTTAATGTTGTTTCCTGCTTTAAGGAGAATTTCGCTTTTTAATAGAATCATAAAATCTTGAAGTCAAAAGGGACTTTAGAGGTTATCTAATCTAATTGGGATCCACCTTCCCAATTAGAGAATCCCCTCAACCACATCTCTGACAAATAGATATTTATTCAGCTTCTTCCTGAATTCTTCAGTTGGTGGGAGTGGGATATCTTCACTACTTTGTAAGGCAATTCATTCTACTTTTTGGACAGCTCCAGTTTTTAGAAAATGTTCCTTTATGGTGAGCCATATTCTGCCTCTCTGTAACTTCTATCTTGGACTAACTTCTGCTCTGTTCAGTCACCCAAAATGAATCACATTTCTCTTTCAAATAACAAGCCTTCAAATATTTAATGAGTTATCATGCTCTCCTTAAATCTTCACTTCTCCAGACTAAATATAAGCAGTTCCCTAACCTTTTTTCACCAAGTATGAATTCTATATACTTTATCATATGGATGAGACCCATCCATAGAATTTCCCTCTTAAAATGTTACTAGAAATAAACACAGTACTGTTGGGTCTGTTTGGACCTATCCATCCATGATTCAGTTGGGATTATTGCCTTCCTTTAACATATGCTGCTCAAGATATGGTTAGCTTTTTTTAGTAGTGTCATTATACTCTTGGCTCTTAAGATTTCTACCAATGAAAACTTTTTAATTTTTTCACACAAATTTCTGTCAGGCCAGGTCGTTCCCCCGTCCATTATATGTTTTATTTTTAAACCCAAATGCAAGAATTTGCATTCAATTTGACTACATTTCCTTTTATTTTTTTAGGCACGTCATTAAAAATTAATTTGTTATCTAATGTATTAGCTCTTCTTTCCAACTTTGTGTGATCTCCAAATCTGTTAAGCATGCCTTTATGTTTTATTTAAGTCATTAGTAATAGGCAGTCTTATCATTCTTAGCTCTAGAGTAATCTAGAGAGGGGAAGGTTTGGGTATTTTCTAAGTAAGTCTAATATAATATTCATAATATTCTTTTAGACTTATTAAGTGCTTACAGCTACAATAACTTTTACCCTCAAAAGCTCTAAATTGAAATTTACATTATCTAATTATAATTATAAAATATAAAATTTTATTCTATGTATAGTTGTTAAAACTCTAAACATAAAATTATAAAATAATTGTGAATGTTTTATGTGGAACATTCTGTAGAAATTAAAAGAAGGCATCCAGCAAAACCTCCTATGTTTACTACTTATCTGCCAGACTTTCAAGTTAAACATTTTACAAAGTTTTTGACTACACATAACATTTACAGTGAAATAAATTACAACTTGGAAGATGCTTGATATAATATAATCATATGTAATATAATCATACATAAACTTAATTTTGTGCTTTATTTGCATGAAGGTTTGTAATATTTGGCTTAACACCAGACAAACACAGTCTTAAATCTGGTTCTTCATTGAGTTTATTTCTGTATCTTGACTTCAAACGAGAATAAAGTGAGAATGCTTGCTTACACAGATAACATGGTGGAAAATGATAGAAAAATTTTATAAACTCCCTTGCTGAGAGGAGATGGAATCTCATTTATTTAATTTTTAGCCACCTAACCAATCAATGAAAGTGAACAGCTAATTGCAATATAAAATATTTCCTTTCAACTATGAATGACAGATGCTGTATTAGATGATAAATGTATTTAAAGTTCATTTGCAAATATTGCTTCATTTTTAAAATTTACACATAAATTCACCAAAGGAAAAAAAGTGCCTCCAAATTTGACTTTCTTTTCTTCTGCCACTGACATATCAGCCACAATATCACAGAAACTCTGCTAAACAACTGACCAGTGTTACCAACCAGTTTATTTGAAAGCCTGCCAGATAGAAGACTAGTAATGTAAGTGGAATATAAGCTTAAAATCTAAAAACAGCCTTACGTTGCAATGAGAGGTATTATAAAGTTTGTTTCTGCAGGATGTTTGTGGTGTCAGGATTGTAATGCACATGTCCAGCAATCATGGTCAAACGTGGATCATTTCAAGCAGTCTGATATTTGTACTGCAAGAGTACAAACATTCATAGCATCTTTCTCGTATGATTATACAGATGATGCTGTATGACTACAGGGTGACAGAGGAGAACGAGGGAGCTAGTCTGGTGCAGTATACAGAATGCAACTGAGGGGATGTACATGTGTCTGATCATCCATTGGAAATCCATTTGCACTTGAATGTCAAATGCTTGTGGCAGTTTGGAAACAATTTGGTGACAGAATAAGAAACTGTTCTTAGAAGTGGACAGAATTTGACATAATCAGTGCCCAAACACCAGGATCATTGTATGCATGACCATGAGAGTTTTAAATTCCTGCAGAGACAAACCTATAATGCTTCAAGTATGCACATACTTGTTGGCAGAGAGGAAAAATGTATCTATAACATAATTGGGCAATTATGTATTGCTTTAAGGTGCCACTGAAGAATTTTTTTTTTTTTAGGCAATTAGGGTTAAGTGACTTGCCCAGGGTAACACAGCTAGTAAGTGTTAAGTGTTTGGTGTGAGGCTGATTTGAACTCAGGTCCTCCTGACTTCAGGGCCGGTGCTGTATCCACTGTGCCACCTAGCTGCCCCCACTAAAGAACTGTTAGCATGAATACTTTAAACTATTATTGTGAACCCCTAAGGGGTTCATGAACCAGTGATCTAGTCCATCTCTCATGTTTTATGAGTAATGGAATGGAATTAAATGGTAGAGTCAGGACTTGAACCCATCTCTTCAGACTCTACAACACCTTTGGATTATAAATATTTTTTATAATCAATATAGCTTACACTAAGATCACCCAATTAATTACCACAGTATCTCTAGTAGTCTTGTCTCTACAACCGTCTAATTATTTTGCCCTTCTCTTATCTTGTTTTTCTTGTTATGTCAAGCAACATAGATCTGGTTGATTTTTATGAAATCTAATGGGGAAAATTCCAACCTTATTAAAACGGTAAATGACATCGACTAATCTTTCAAATATTGATTTCCTACCCTAGCCCGTAGTTCATTAATATTATAACTGTTTAAAGTTTTGATAGCCACTGTTAATTGAATATCTCTGAAATTATGCAAATCAATGAAAAATAATATTCAATTTATATATGACTTTTCAGAAACATAACTGGAGTGGAAAGTATGGTAGACCTGAAATGGTATTTTTTGTTTGGTTTGATTTTCCTTTAAAAATAAATTTATTCCTGTATATTATTAATTCTGTGCATCTTTACTTCTGGAGATAATTACAAATGTAGAAAATTTTTTCTGAGCTATAATACTGATTTTGCCAATAGTTTTTGTCTCCATTCCTTTGCATTCTTTCTGAACAGTCTGACTGGAACAATTTAGGCTCATTGAAGATTTTTCTCATTATTTTCTTTTTGTCTCTCTCCCTCTGGCTGCTGGTCGTGTTGCTTCCCTTAAAATATGTTTGCCATATGTGGAGAATTTTACTGACTACCTCTCTTCTGAAAGGTGTGTGTGTGTGTGTGTGTGTGTGTGTGTGTTTGGTAGGTGTTTCCTTACCATTGCTGGAGTCAATGGTCTTTTATTTCC